ATCAACACTTCAGTGTTACTTTTTTAAGTGGACAAACTTTTAAAAATAAATCTGAGGACAAATACATAAATGGATAGCCATACTTATGGATAAGGAAAAGACTTAATAACCACAAAAACATCAGAAACAGCCTCGGTGGAAAGAGAAACCTATTAAACTAATGTGTAAAACAAAGACAATGGGACTTAAAACAGAATTCCAATAGGCACAAAAACAGAAGCCTACTTGCAGAAAGGTAAACCAGTCTCCCCAGCGCCACTCCCCTGCAAAAACAAAACAGAAAACCACCAGTGTCCTGTGAAATTCCACTCAAAGGCCCTGGCAGGAAAGGAAATGCTTCTGGAGTGGACTGGGGGATGGTAGGTGGCTAGGTGGCAGGACTGGACAGAACAGAAGGAGCTGAAATGGAGGAGGGACCGACAGGCTCTCTGAATTCCTGAGCACATGCTTTCTTCCTGTGTCTGTCCGCTCTTGTAAGCAGTCATTATTTCTAAGGTACATTTTACATTCAGCAGATTAATATTCTGATATGAAAGTAAGCATGAAAAAGATTCATTCTCTGATGTGTGCTATCAACTGAGATACATTATAGCTTAAAAAAAGACTCACAATTCTGATCTGAAAAATAAAATATTCCTGGGAATAAAAGCTTAAGTGAGAAGAAAGAACTAATGGCTATATCTGTAACTAAAATTAAATACGTGAATCTAATTTTTAGACAGAAACCCAAATTACAAAGCACTTCACTAAATTCCATAAATGAAGGAATGAAGGAAAAATCCCATCTGGACGCAGAGACTAACATGACAAAAGAAGTGCCAGCTCACTGCTGAGAGCTTAAGTAGTAAGTTCTAAAATGATCAAAAGTAAGGAATCCTTCTCTTATGATATTACTCTGACATTCAAATCTTTGTTTTTAGAAAATACTTATTCAATTCTATACATAGAATTCATTAACAGGAAGTTAAGATGTCAGTACTGCTACATTAAGCATAGCTGTGTGTGCTCTCTCAGTCACGTCCAGCCCCTCGACCTCACGGGCTGTAGCACGCCAGGCGCCTAGAGTTCTCCATAACTGTTTAATCATAAGACTGGAGATATCATCACTTACTACAGTTTCTAGGCACACTAGTTCTAAATTGAGAATTCTCAAGTTTTTACAAAATTGTCCAACAAAAAAGACTATTAAGAAAGTAAAGTTGAGGACTTCCCTGGTGGCGCAGGAGTTAAAACTCTCCCTGCCAATGCAGGGGACGTGGGCTCGATCCCTGGTCTGGGAAGATCCCACAAGCCGCAGGGAAGCCCATGTGCCACAACGAGTGAGCCCCTGCTCTAGAGCCTGAGGCCACAACTACTGAGCCTGCACGCTGCAACTACTAATCCTGTGTGCCCAGAGCTCGCGCTACGAAACAAGAGAAGCCACTGCAACGAGAAGCCTCTACTCACCGCAACTAGAGAAAGCCTGTGCGTACCATCAAAGACCCAGCCAAAAACAAGTATTTTTAAGAACAAAAGAAAGTAAAGTTTACTAGTGTTGAGAGACAAGAGAAGGAATACCTTCACATTAATACCAACTGTATCCTAATCCTGTTAAAATCTGAAACCTAGAGCTACTTGCAACTACTGTCTCCCTTTTTTACTCTCTAGTCATCTGAGTAGACCTGAATTCTTGTACAATTAAATGTGGATTATGGAATCCTACTGTGCAAATTCATGTATGTCCCTGAAAATAACCAAAGGTAAAAACTTAAAGGATACACCCCTTCTCTATACTCTTTTCACGCAGGTGCCTAACAAACAGCAAGGCAGCTCACAGTCACATCCCTGCACACACCAACTATAGTTGATGAACAACTATTATCTGGACTTGCGCACACAAGGTCTGGGGTCAGGCTGGTTCCACCGAGTGCAGGATGACCGGGCCTCTGTAGAGACAAGAATCCACTTCTCACACAACACGAGTAAGCGTACGAAGCTGTCCAGGAGCAGAGCAATGGAAACTTACGAAAGGGGTTTAGGCGGGGGAAAAGATGAGATCAAAATGAACTCTGCTTCCCCTGACACATTCTGTAATTCTAATCTTCTCTGTGTACCAAGAAAGCACAATGATTCAAACAGACTCTATGATGAAACTGAAACTAGGTTGCCTGACATTTGTTTTATCAGTTGGTGTGTGTATGGCCACTTTACAAAGCAAAATTGAGTTTAACAAATAAAGAGTAAGCTCGCCTACTGAAAAGCAGCAAGGAAGAGTGCGCAGGGCACACCGCCACCAGGACAAGATCGCCACGGCGCCTCCTTAAGCCCCAGCAGGGCTCGCTCTTCAGGACACAGCCGGGCTGCGTGGGCCGTGCTCATGCACTTTATGGCTCAAGGACTAGCACTATGCAGAACATTCAGCACGTGAGAGACTCACTGAACGGTCACGAAACCTCATCTACACTGATTAAAAACAAAGTAGAATCTATTAGTAGAAAAGGAAACAAACAATGTTACTCAAAATAGATAAATGCACCCCAATGTTCATAGCAGCAGTATTTACAGTTGCCGAGACTGGAAGCAGTCTAAATGTCCATCAACAGATGAATGGATAAAGAAGATGTGTATACATACACACACAATGGAACAGTACTTTGCCATTAAAAAAAAACAGCATTCTGCCATCTGCAGCAATATAGGTGGATGTGGAGACTATTATGCTAAGTGAAATAAATCAGACAGGGAAAGACAAACACTGTATGAAATCACATATATGTGGAATCTAAAAAACACAACAGACTAGTGAATAGAACAAAAAAGCAGCAGACTCACAAATATGGAGAATAAGCCAGTGGTTACAAGGCAGGGGGCGGCGGGGATGGAATAAGGGTGGGAGAGTGGGAGATACAAACCGCTGGGTGTAATATAGGTTCAAGGATGTATTGCACAACATGGGGAATATAGCCAAAATTCTGTAATAACTGTAAAAGAAAAATAACCTTCAAAATTATAAAAAAATTAATACTCATAAAGATATTTTAAAATTAAAAAAAAAATCTGGTGTACATAAAACAACAGGAGCCAGCCTAGGGTTAGTCTCCTTCCCAATAATATTTTGATGAACTTTAAAAAAAAACCTTTATTATAACTTAATCTGCCTGCCAATGCAGGAGATGCAGGTTCGATCCCTGGATTGGGATGATCCCCTGGAGAAGGGAATTGCTACCCATTTCAGTATTCTGGCCTGGAGAATTCCATAGACAGAGGGGCCTGGCGGACTATAGTCCATGGGGCGCAAAGAGTCAGACACAACTGAGCGACTGAGCACGCAGTTTAAGAACCAGTACTGGGGGCTTAAAGATACATGTTAAATGGCAGTAACTATTTCTCAAATTATATCATACATGTGACTGATCTCAAGCCTATTTCCCATCACCTATACACATAACCCACCTTAAAAATAAGAACAAAACATTACACCTTGCAAAAACTGCTCCAAGAGCAGTTCAGTAATATTTACCACCCTCAGGGTATTATGTAACTTTTAGTTTAATTTCTCACAGAGAAATTATTTTATTATCCTCTTTGTAATGTCCTCAAGTAATACAAGGTTTCTTTTAGTATCAGATATAATTGTTTGCACAACTGAAATTATAAGTAGATGAAAACTGCAAATGATTATTCTAATTTCATATTTACACACAACCTTTGTAATTTTAAACTACATTTGCTTTCATCAAATTTTATCTTTGCATTTCTAATAAAATATAAACAAAAAATCAATTATGATTCTAATGCAAAATCTCACAACCCTGAAAATAAGAAAAAGTACATTTTTAAAATGTTAGTGCTTTATAATAACTAGCAGTTAAATTAAAATCACACATACTTATCCTTGAGTAATTCAAGTAATAAATCTTAACTATTTAGACAACTATTTCAAATAAGGATGTGTACTCAATAAATGTCATCTAATTTTTAAAATAACTAGTTTTTAGAACTTGATCGGTTAATTTTTAAAAATTAGCTAATAAAGCATAAGAAACCAGTAAGAATCAGTTCTAGAAACAATATTATGTCATAAAGATTAACTACAAATGAAGAAAGCTCCTAAAAAATACTCTGAACCTTTAAATCCAATACTGTCTTTTTGAATAATCATAATAATCACTACACATTGAGATCTTTCATTTATGACCCACATAAACACAGTAGCTACTGAGGATCAAAGCTAGGGTCAAACAGGTCATTTAGATATTCCCAGGAAATCAGATTATTTAGCATCAACAAAACTACATCTGTTTTATATACAAACTAAAATGTTATGGTCTGGTCCTTTTTTTCCCTCAAATTGTTCTTAGAACACATTCTCACTGATTTAATAAAACCATGAACTAACTACAAATCAAACCAAAAAGTCAAATAAAATGAAATTTACTTATTTAAACAGATAACTATTTAATGGACATTTTTCTTCTAATTAAAACATTATCAGAAGAATGGATAAAATTATGGAAACAATAAGAGAGTGGGGGGAGGGGTGTCTTAAAGATGCTTTAAAAAGAAAACCTGCATTTTTAACATATAAAACCAATGGCTCATGAAGACCTTTGAGAGTTTTTTTTTAAACAAGTAGACATCTCATTATTACTCCCTAAAACTGCATACACACACTCACACTTAGCCAAGTGCACACATGGCTCCACACACACAGATAATAAAGGCCCTTCCTCACCTAACATAAGGCAATAATAAAATCAAAATTCATATTCTTTAAGACAAAAGGCAGTCTACTGATGATCCTGATTCAACAATTTTACAGTTAAACAAAATTAATTCTATTCTCAAAAATCCATTGACCTTAAGCTTTTAACAAATATTTTCCACTGCAAAAATTATTGTCAATATTTACAAATCCTTAAACTTATATTTGGCTGGAACCACTTGTATTTGCCGTATTAATATTTCCTGGTAAACGTGTGCTCATCCCTACGAGAGCAGGAGGAGCAGCTGCTACTCACTGGGAATCTCTGGGGTCCCACCGCAGGTCTCGGCTGGCTCGGGACTGGCAGCAAGGGCACTGTGAGGAAAACACCACTCGTTACACTTGACTTCACCCCGAACCCGCCTGGAGAGGAGCACATCACACGGAATACACACCATGTGCTCAATACACACAATACATTCAGTTTACACTTCAGCAAGGGCTGCATGTGTGCACTGATACAATTCCATAAAGGGACAGGGGAGAGAACTTTTGTCCTCAGTGCACAATAGCACAAGCAGACGCTTCCATTTCAACGGCAAATTCTTAATTAGAAATAAAAAACTTCACACCAAAGAAGATATTAATCCCTCTACAGTAAGAAATCTTTTTGACATCTATATGCAGGTGATCCAGGTTATGTAATCCGAGTTACATTTTCCGATGCCAATAAAACACAAATTTATATCCAAATCCTCTAGGATCATGAGGAAGAGAGGCGGGAGACGAAGTGAAGGGGGCAGAGAAAAGAAAATGCACATACACTGTGTTGGCTATTTGTGCTGGTTATTCTGTGCTGTAACACAGAATAATCTACTCGACAACCTGCTAAGCCGAGATGGGTCGTCTTTAAGAAGCACAATTCCCATCAACTTACCAGAAGAACAGCAGTCAAATAATCTCAAAAATAGGGAAAAAGCCAGGTGCCAGTTTCACACCCCGCATGTTTAAGCTGTTTCATACATGAGCCTTATACTGATTCTGATTTGGGAGGTAAAAAAACACCCTCATCAGAGTGACCACTATGGCTGCACGCGACTCCCTCCACTAAAATGTCCTGCCAGACACGTCCAAGAAGATCTCGGACGGCCAGGCGCCAAGGGCTGAACTGCAGCCCCCTCTCAACTTCACACCCCGGAGTCCTCATCACGAGGACTTTGGAAGGTCATGTGGAAATGCTAAAGAAAATGCACATACACTGTGTTGGCTATTTGTGCTGGTTATTCTGTGCTGTAACACAGAATAATCTACTCGACAACCTGCTAAGCCGAGATGTGTCATCTTTAAGAAGCACAATTTCCATCAACTTACCAGAAGAACAGTAGTCAAATAATTTCAAAAATAGGGAAAAAGCCAGGTGCTAGTTTCACACCCTGCATGTTTAAGCTGTTTCATACATGAGCCTTATACTGATTCTGATTTGGGAGGTAAAAAAACACCCTCACAAGAGTGACCACTATGGCTGCACGCGACTCCCTCCACTAAAATGTCCTGCCAGACACATCCAAGAAGATCTCGGACGGCCAGGTGCCAAGGGCTGAACTGCAGCCCCCTCTCAACTTCACACCCCGGAGTCCTCATCACGAGGACTTTGGAAGGTCATGTGGAAATGCACCTTTAAAGAAAAGATCGAGGGAAAATGAGGGGGGGGGGGGGGGGGGCCTGATCCGACATGACCAATGTGCTTACAAGAGAAGATCAAACACAGACACAAAGGGATAATCATGGAGAACTCAGCAAGAACAATATAACAGCATTTAATTTTAATTTGAAAAAGTTCTGGTAAATCAGCACCACAGAAGTAATACAGCTTAAAAGTCAATCAGAATTATTTTTAAAATAGAGCACTAAGACAAACTATTTTTTACTATGATGAAGCAAAAGATCAGTACATTAGACTTCTAATTAAGATCACATTTCTACCTACCTGCTTCCTCCTCCACTGTGAACAAGTGACAACTTACAACCTGTAATGCTAAGAGACCATTCCAGCTGAACCTTGAACTCTTTACATTTAATGTTTATATCCCACACTGTCCCATGAATTAATGGACTAAGTTTTCAATTTTAATACTGAAAACCTGGAAAACAAGTTAAATTTCCAACAAAACTGGTTGATTACAATATGATAAAACACTCTTCATCCTTGGAAAGAAAGCAGGTACTATCAGACAAAGGTGTGCATACATCTTTTTAATTTTTTAAAACACCTTTTGACTGTGTGAAGCTGAGAATCACTGGGTTACTCTATCTTTTGCATACAGGAGACAACTAGACAAGCAGTCTCTCTCAAAAACAACAGTGGCTTTCTATTTAACTAAGCTCATTCACTTAGTATTGAAAAACAATTGCTTCAACGGTGGTGTTGAGTGTATACCCAGCAGAGGCGTCAGGGTCCTCAAGATCAAAGGCACTTTAGAGAGGAGGGACACAGGGCACTGAGGGGCCTGGCTCTGAGAGGAGAGCACACTGAGTGGGTTCTACGAGCTGGAGACTCGTCAGAACACTGACCTTGGATGTGCTGAGTCAGGCAGAAGTGTCAGGGTGCCAGGCTGGCATTCTGCACCCATGTGGCAACTGAGCAGCAAGGCCCACTGTTTTCCTGCCTGGAGGACAGCTTGGAGTCTCCTTACAGTTTTCCCACAGTGTGGTTCTAACACAGTTTATTTTCACTAAGCTAAAGAAAATCTGTGCACCATATCAACTGCCAGTTTCCCATTCAATTTTAGAAGGAAATTCACAATAACAGATGCTGACATCATAACACTGTTTCCACAAATGAGATGCAGTGTGGGGGCACGGCTCAGGAAGGGGCCACATACTGAGTCGTGCTCCCCCTTCACCCACAGCTGCTGAAGGAGACGGGCCACCAGTGCGTCAGCTGCGGAGACAGCAAAGGTACACGCAGCCACCATGCCGCCTGCCCTTGGAGCTCAGAGCAGGGCAAGGCCAGCGAGTGATTCTAGCACAGGAGGGACACACAAAAGGCAGTCAAGGAACCTGCACGGACCCGACTCTGACGCTCCTGCACATATAAAACAAGAGCAACCTCCTAGAGCCACACGCGGACACTGTCGCCCACGGCCAGCCTACTGCCCCGTGGCCCTCTGCTCCAAGTGTCAGTCGCTCGGTCGTGTCCAGCACTGTGCGACCCCACGGACTGCAGCCCACCAGGCTCCTTTGTCCATGGGATTCTCCAGGCAGGAACACTGCAGTGGGTTGCTGTTTCCTTCTCCAGGGGATCTTCCCGACCCAGGGTTGAACCCAGGTCTCCTGCATTGCAGGTGGGTGCTATACTGTCTGAACTACTTCAAAGCCACAATTTCACGGTGACTCCACACCCTGGCTTTCTCCCAAACTCCAAGTCCTATCTCAGGCCTCTTCTCAACCTCTGGAATGGCTCAACCATTTGGAACTGCAAGTTCACCACCAGCAGACTCATGACGGCCCCCTCTTCCCCTCCCTGGTCTAATGGAGACCTAACTCTCCCAGAGGATGAGACTGTCTCCCTCCCTCAGCCGCCTCCCTGCTGGCTCTGGAGCAGGGATGGGACCCCCTTCTTGTCCTCACTGCTGTTTCCAGACCCCAGACGTGGATCTCGGGTCATCAGACAGCCAGGCCCAGGGCCCCAGGCTGCGGTCCACGGCCCGGTCACACAGCTGCTCTTGGATCTCTGGCTGAGCTCCCCACTCACCGTCCCCCACACCAGCCCCATCTGAGGTCTTGGGCGAGATGCTGCTGCTTCCAAAGCTGCCCCAGCCCCCAAGACCTGCACATTCTCCATGACCCGACGCCATCTCGACCTTCCCGCCTCACTCCCTCCATGACCCTAACCTCCCGACGGCAGGACCCCACAAACGCCTCCTGGCCCGTTATCATCATACACTCCACAGCCTCCTGCGTGAGCAAGACACCTCCTCTACTGCTTCGCCAACAGCCTGACTCCAGCAAACCCAACGCTGTCGAGGCGACACCTGACGCAGAAAGGTGAGTGTGGCTGGAGAAAAATGTGCAGGCGGGCATGTCTCTCCAAGCTCATGACCGACAGCTCCAAGGGGTGTTGGGGCTGCCCAGCACTCCCATTCTCCTGCTCCCCAACTTCCATCTTGGCAAGACACTCTTCATCCCTGTCGATACAATCGTCTCCCACGCCTGCACCCCCTTCCCTCTAAAGCCCACCTCAGTGAGGCATGTGCCGCCTCCACATCACCAAAACCACAGAACTGTCAGAACCCCACAGACCCCGCAGCTGTGGGCCCGGCCCTCGACCTGCAGCCCGGCCGTCCCCAGCCACCCAAGCACCGGCCCCGCCGGCCCCCGTCCTCCGGCCTCTCCAGACCCCCACCTGGCAGGGCACGTGCCCCAGGCTGCTCGCCACGGCGACACAGGATGTCTTGCGCGCGGGCTCCAGGGCCACCCAGGCGCCAGCAGAGTCCCGCCTGCGCCTCGCACCAGGCCCCCCCTGCACACTCTGCAGGGGCCTCGCCCTAGACCCGCGCGCCTCGCGCCTAGGCGCAGCTCCAGCACAGAGCCCGTGGTCTTCCCCTGAAGCCTGCTCGGCCTCGAGCGCTCTCCAGTGACGGCAAGCCCCTTCAGCAAAGCTCAGTCTCTTCTCTCCCACCCACACACAGCTCAGCCATCAGCTCCGTCCTGAGTCACACCCGGCTTCTGACTCCTGATCACGCCGCCACCCTGAGCCAAGCCTCTACCAGGCTACCGTGATCACTGCACTTAGCTCCCAGCTGAATACCTGGTTTCCACTCCTGCCACCCTCACAAGCCCATTCTCAACACAGCAGCAAGAACAATCCTTGCCAAACACACAGTGACGATGTTACTCCTGTGCTCAGACTCCTCTACTCACAGCCCAGCTCATTTGGAACAAAAGCAAAGCTCTCAGGACGGCTCCCAGGTCTCACATGACAAGGTTCCACATTTCTCTCCACCGCTGCACTCCACTAACTGTCTCCTGGTTTGTCTTTAGTTACCGGAATACAAAAGGCACAGCCCTCATCAAAAGAGGCGCCTGTGCACCAGCTGATCCCACCTGGAAGACGCCTCCCCTGACAGGCACGCCAGCAGCTCCTGTCCCTCCTGGTCTTCCCTTCGCAGTGCAGCTGGCCCCCGCTGCCACAGAGGCTCCCCCTGCTCTCCTCAGCACGGCACTTTCGTTCCCCAACGCGCCACACGGGGCTCTCATCTATCACGTTCACTGCTCACTGTCGCTGCTAAGGTGCTAGACAACACCCACAGCAAGCGCTGACCACCGTGCCCACCGACAGATCTCCAACACCACGGAGAGCAGCGTCTCGCTTCAGGAACGTGCGTCCGTGATCATGCCATCAGAACTGACCACGAAAAGACGGGTGTGTCCCTCTAGAACTCAAAGGAAGCACCATGAGTGGAAGCTGAGGGGCCAGGCCCTTCGCACTCAGCCCCACCAGGAGCTGACGAGGAACGCCAGGCAGACACCACCACAGTGGCCTCTGACACGCTGCACCTTTGCGTGTATTCTCGGTACCCCCGCGGAACGCGGCAGGAGACACACAGCTGAGAAAGGGGCCTGGCTCGCCAGCTGGTGTGCATCTGAGCGGTGGGGAAAGACTCGGGAGCCCACAGCTTCCTTACGGACCTGCAAGTGAGACGGTCTGGCCATAGTCTCCTGGAACTTGACCACAGCAAAGGAGACACGTACCTTGAACGGGCGTCACCACGGCCCCTTTGAAGTGAGGGTTGATGTGTATGTTCTTGGGCTGCTGCGGGGTCACAGGAGGAGGGGTCATCATCACCCGGGGGGCCTCGATCTGGGGCGGCATGTGCATCCCCTGTGGAGGGGAGGGGTGGTGCGGGTGCTGCAGGGGCAGCAGAGGCTGGAGCTGCTGCTGCTGGAACAGACTGCGGATCGGCTGCTGTGGAGGCGGCGGCGGCGGCGGCGGTGGCTGAGGCTGTGGAGGAGGAATTAATCTTGGAGAGTACGTCTAAAACCACCAAGAGAGAAAGTCACAGCAATCAACGCTCACAAGGAAAAATGCCAGCGCCTGACAGATTTTACACTGACTGCACTGTAAGAGTTGACTCAGAAGTAAGTTTATTTTAACAACTTGTATACAACAGCAGGATAAACGAGCTGCTCCGCCTGCTCACGGTTAGGGCTACTGTCTAGCGACGTGAGCCAACATCAGGACAAGGAGGGAAGACCGCAGCCCCCAAACACGATGCGTGGATTCCAAAAGGGAAAAACTGCAAGTCAACCATCAGAACTGCCCACCACGAGCCAAGAGCTACAGGCGGAGCACAAGCTGCCTGGGCTGGCTCACTCCTCCTCCAGAAAGCCTATGAGATGGGCGGGCAGTGCAGGAGCAACCCCACTAGAAAGCAGGCTGCAGAGAGGGTGAAGGGCTCCCAGAGGGGAGGGGCAGTTTCTGAGAGGGTGGCCTCTGAACCAGGAAGGAGAGGAAGGAGCTAGGCAAGGAGTGGAATGGCATCACTTGAGAGCAGCAGAGGCGGAACACACGCCAGGAGGCGCACATGGGGACCAGCACGGCTGCAGCCGCATTTGAAGACCGGAGGGCGCAGGAGTGGGAACACACACCCTGGATGCGGTCAAGGATCTCGGGGTTACTCAGCGCAACAGTCTTGAGAGAAGGAGACCCCCACCAGAGCAGCAACCTCAAGAGTACCGGGCCTCCTCCCCTCCGCCGGTGTCTTAAGCATGCGCTGAAAGGTCTGTATGTGGAGTAACTCACCCTCAACAAGCCTATGAAGCCGGCCCTTGTCGTGACCCTCCTCTTACAAGATCAAGCAGCCGGTAAGCAGAGGAGCAGAGAACCTGGCTCCACAAGCCCTGCTTGTAAGCACTCATCCTCTGCCGCACACAGCGGCAGAGGCAGCAGGCTACTACCAGCCAGGGCATCCTGTGCACTGACTGCCCAGGATGATGCCAGACTTCAGAGGCTTCTGAATTCAGTTCCAGAGGCTCTACAGTGTCTGACGATGACGACGACTAACAGTGTGTGACAGACAAGGGGAAAGGAGACAGAAGAAGACGGCCCATTTAACAGGCTATGGACGCCGGGAGCTGAATGAAAGAAACAGCCGTGGTCTGAGAATTCTGAAACCCAAGTGTAGACGACCTTGTCTAACCTATTCTTCCTCAGGGAGGACTTCTCTATCCGTGGTACACCAGCTCCCAGAGACTAGTCTGTTCCCTCCTCTGACACTTGGTATCTGTAACGTGCACAGCTGTGCGTGAAGCAGTCTCTTCTACCCCGTTCAGCACTGAATCCGCACGGACACCGCACTGACAGAGGGACAGCTAAACTAAACCTGAACTCAACTGGGAAAGCGCACAGCGCGGGGCCACTCACTCGACAGCGTGAAGGACTTTTAAGGAAACCACATGTCCCAAACAAGGGGAGTTTAGGGCTGGGCAACAGCCATGCAGAGACGCCCAGGGCAGCTAGGAAATGAAGAGACTGCGCTGGCAAGTGGCACAGGCTAGAGAGCAGACTCACGCAGAGACAGCAGATGGCAGGGAGGACAGTGCTGCCGAGTGCGAGTTCCGATCAGAAACCGGCCTGAGAACAACACAGCCAGAGAGACAGGAGAGAGAGAAGGGGCCCTGCTGGGAGAGCAGGGACTACACCCCAACCTCAGACACTCAAGAAAGGCTCAAGAAAGAGGAGCTCACAGGTGACATCCAAGGCCCCAGAGAGCAGTCCACCAGGACAGACTGCAGAGGTGAGGAGGCCACTCTCAGAGCACTCGGCAGTGGAAGGAGCACAGTGCCAGCGCCAACAGATGGACCAAGGAGAAAACAGACACAAGGAAAGCCACGGCAGAAAAGGGATCGAAAGGCACAGACAGCTCTGGGGTGGGGGGTGACCAGGACCAAGGTGGACACGAGGGGAGCAAGGTCAGGCCAGGTCAGAAAGCTGTGACTGCGTCAGCAACCCATAGCTTTAAAATACCACTGCTAGCAAAGACGTGCGAACAGCTCACAGGCCAAGGCCCCGGCAGGCTGAGTTGGGCCAGCAGTGGGTGAGCCCGCTGGCACCTAGAAAAGCCCTGGCACCTAGAGAATTCCAGACACGATGCTGCTGTCAAGAGGGACTTGGGTCAACTGACACTTGAGCTACACTTTTAAAGCACTCAGGGCTCCCAGCTGAGCCTCTCCGTATGTGTAAGAAAGTAGGGAGTTCAGTTACTTTTCCAGGACCATGGTCACCTACTGGCTGTTTCCCCCTTCGGAAGCCAAAACCATGGAGCTGGCTATTGGACACACACAATGGAAGTTGGGGACAAGGAGACAAGATGGGGAAGAAAAGGGAAAAACTGAAGCGCCAATCTTCCTGCTAATATCAGAAAAGCTTAAACACAAATGGCTGTGTGAGCAGGGAGCAGCTATCAATATCACCAATCTCTTTATGCCGCGATCAACCCACCTGCCTTTCTTCCCTGTTCACTGAAATCAGAATTCTCATGCGAAAACAGTAAATCACCTTCTCTACTTTGTTATTTCACAAATGAATGCCTCCTAAAACACAATTTTCTACACCGAGGTCAGGTGTCATTTTCCCCTACACTCACGGAATAATGCAGGAGGGTAGACAGTGCAAACTATTTATTTACATTAAATAAATCTGTCCCTGAAGACTAACTTCTGAAGGAAAAACTATAAAATACTAAAGTTAACTGAAAGAACCACCACCAGAAAAACCACTACACTTCCCGTCTTTGTTCCTGCGATGTCTCACCTTTGAAATACGGAGAAATTCAAACTAATCTGAAATTACAATTACATAATTTACTCTTAAATTATGAAAACTTTTTATGGCTATGACAACCTCCATTTCTATGGAGAGGATATGACAGTTATTTATAAGAGAAACTTCTACATTTAAGGAAAAACCTATGGCAAGCAGTATATAAGAAAAAATATTTTATGAAATACATCATTATGGCTAGATTCTCCATGTAACAGAGAAATGGTGCTCACAGGAGCAGTGCCCCTCCATAGCAGAAGAGATGAGCAAGGTTCCTCTGTGGTTCGACCCCTGGAAGACATCAGCTCTCTCACTGCTTCTTTCTTCATCAGTAATGGCAAAGAATTAGTCTTCACTACCTCAATACTAGAAGACTGGATTTTTAAGACCATATACTGGATGAGCTACAAGCTGGAATCAAGATTGCCAGAAGAAACATCAACAACCTCAGAGATACGGATGATACCACTCTAATTGAAGAAAGTGAAGTGGAACTAGACTCTCTTGATGAGAATGAAGGAGGAGAGTGAAAAAAAGCTGACTTAATACTCAATATTAAAAACTAGGATTTTTTGGCATCTGGTCCCATCATTTCATGGCAAATAGAATGGGAAAAAGTGGAAGCAGTGACAGATTTCCTCTTCTTGGGCTCTAAAATCACTGCAGATGGTGATTGCAGCCATGAAATTAGAAGACAATTGCTTCTTGGCAGGAAAGCTATGACAAACCGAGACGGTGTGTTAAAAGCAAAGAGTATCTTGCTGACAAAGGTCTGTATGGTCAAGGCTTCCGTATAGTCAAGGCTATGATCTTTCCAGTAGTCATGAACAGATGTGAGAGCTGGACAATAAAGAAAGCTGAGCACCAAAGAAAAGGTGCTTTTGAACTATGGTGCTGAAGAAGACTCTTGAGAGTCCCTTCAGCTGCAAGGAGATCAAACCAGTCAAACCTAAAAGGAAACCAACCCTGAACACTCATTGGAGGGACTGACGCTGAAGCTCTGGCCACGTGATGCAAAGAGCTGACTCACTGGAAAAGACCCTGATGCTGACAAAGATTGAAGTCAGGAGGAGAAGGGAACAACAGAAGATGAGATGGTTGGATGGTATCACCGATTCAATGGACATGAACCTGGGCAAACTGTGTGAGATGGTGAGGGACAGGGAAGCCTGGAGTGCTGTAGTGAATGGGGTCACAAAGAGTCAGGCATGACTTGGCAACTGAACAACAACAACGAAATCATACCACAGGCTATAAAGAAACTTGAACCGTGACGCCTTTCACTAAATTCTCATCTCAGACTAAGGCAAATGCAAAACACGAAACCCATACCAGAGAGAACTTTCACTTGCTCTCTGCGTGCAGGCTCCCAGGATGGAGCTGCGCAACTCACCACCACAGGCGGCTGTGCGGGCAGCAGGGCGGGCCTGTGGTCCTTGGCGCGCCCCCGCTCGCTGCTCTCTCTCCTCTGGTCTCCGACACCACGGCACACGGACGAGCCTCCTCTCCTTCCTCCCCGCCTGGAGCCGTAGCGGCCCTGTTTGTGCTGTCGCTCCCTCTCTTCAAATTCAAGCAACGCAGCTTTGGCTTCTGCTGAAAGCTCTATTTGAAAAGATGCATATGTGTTAGATACCTTCAAGGAGGTGAAATCAGATCTATAGGGAGAAACAAACCAAAACAAGAAGTATGTGACAAGGAAACTCAGGAACAGCCGGTGCTTCACCAGCAACAAACAATTCCACTAGCGGCAGTAAGTAGCAAGGGGCAGGATACAATCAGACACACCCGGACCCCGTGAGTGAGACCTGTTACCTGAAGACACGCTTCTTCCTTAAAATACAAGTACCACCTGTAAATTTGAATTTTCATTTGAGACCACTAAAATGTGCTGAGGAAAGCTAAAAACGAGGAGCTGAAGAAGTTCAACCCAACCACCACTCCTCATCTGCTAGGTATCACGTTCTTTCACTGATGGTAGATGATGTTGGTTAACACCTGGCTACCCCAGTCCTAAACCAGGACACTCATCTATGCGAATCCAGTAGAAGTATTGATTAATTCACAGTGGCACAGAGACTCAAAAATTACAAATTGCTGATTGTTCCTGCTTTAAAAGCAAAACTACTAATAAGATCACTCTCAAGCAAAATACTTAAATTTCATAAAGAACGGAAACTCATTTAGTACTACACCAAGTCAGATTTTCTGATTTATTTAAAAACAACAACAACGTTACTCTGTGAAGACAGACATACATCCATGCCGCCTGACAGGGAAGCTACAGCAAATGACAGCAAAGACACAAAATGGTGCTCTCCTCTCTGACCAAAGCTATGGGGCAACAATCAAAATCTCTGGCCCTACAAAACTTCAGTAGGCACATTATTCTGAATTCTTAGAAGAAAAAGGCTAACTTATTCAAATACAGTTCTAAATTATGATAATATATGCTCTATTAGTAAACACCTTTCAAAGATTTCATTGAATTCTACTAAGAAGCATTCCCATGACTTCTTCCACAGCAAAGGGTAAATTTTGAATATAACCAGTTTTTCCCCTACCTTGGATTCCATAATCATCTCCAAACTTTTCCAAAATCTCTAAGCCACATTTCATTTTCTTGAAATTGTTTCTAAGGTATCCCCCTTCCCTTCAAAAGGATCTAGACTCCATTCCAAAGAAAATTTAATCTCCTCTTAACAAGCACAGACTTTTATTCTAATCTTGACTACATGATAGGTTCACATACACATTTTATGCGGTGAATCAGCAATTATTTTTCTAGTGGTTCTAAGTGTCAAGATTAATTTCACTATCCCCAGTAATAAAATGGTTTCAAATGACATCTTTAATCAGCAAGTAAAAATGCATTCCTCCAATTGAGACAAGCTGTCACAAAAGGTCACCAAAATATGACAGGATGGAAATTACATTTGTAACTTCAACTGAAATGTTAATTTCCGCTTAAGTGTTTTCTGAACTAGGTCCATATTCCAAAGTAAAGAGATAAGAGTGTAATGTAACAAAGTTTTACGTTGTGTTGTCCCTTTCTAAAATGTGCTTAAGAAAAACATATGTACATAAAAATACATAATGAATATCTATAAAATACCGTTTATTTGGCAAAATAGAAACAACAAATGACATTCTGAGGTTTTTATTTTTGGTTGTGGTTTTTTGTTTTTTTTTAATAAACAAGATAATTGAATCAAGAAATTTCTGAAAACCTTGCAAATGCAAGGACCATTGTGTAAACTGAAGGTAGTCATCTTACTGATGGCACTAGTGATCTTAAATTGTTTATTAACAGATGAAAAAATTGTATGTTATTGCAGATGTTTATTTCTTCTCTCTATTGGAGTATTCTGCTGTATAAATACACAATTTGTATATCAATTAAAAAAAATGTTTTCCTCAAAGATCATCTGCCTTAAGCAAAATTAACCAAGGATATTATTTCAAGAGAACATTACGTGGGCCTAACAACAATGTTCTTCAGGCTAAAGCAATGAAACATAATTTAACGTATTGCCTGTGCCTAATGAAACTTGGAATATGGCAAAACCTAGAAGCTTACTCACAGATTACAAATTATAAAAGCCTAACTAAAATAAGCACAGTCTTTCATTTTCCGCTGGTACTGCTTCCAGAGAGAATCTGAGGTCCACCTCCTAGGGCAAAAGAACTGGCCCCTCTGAACCTCTGTGCTAACACTTCAGGGTAACTGGCCAGTGACACCCATGTTTTAGAGATGGCTTTAGACTTTGCCATTCAAAATAAATCTTTCTCTTACACATGCATCTTCTAGAACCCCTTTTCAACTCTATTCTGTGAGAGAATTAAACCCTCATATCCTATGGGATCCTTTTTATATAATGAAAAACTTGTCTCCTAAGTATATAGCTTTGTACCATCCTTGGGAAAACTGATAATGTAACATTTTCTCTAAGGTATTTAATTCCCAGAATCCTGGTTGAGGACAAAAGCTCAGTACTTAACATCGTAACTCAAATAAAAGCCCAAAATTCTATGCCTAATCCAATATGGACTGAAAATACAGATCAACATCTGTGTCTCAGGCTCCATAACGGTCAAGACTGTCACAAACATGAATTACTTAAGGATGACATCATACATCTGAATGTGAGTAAGACTAAAAGTGACTGAATGCCCTACCAGATTCTGAAGAGAACTCACTATTCCCAGGCCAGAACATTATTTCATTCTTCTTTGTAGAGTGGAGTGTTCTCAAAAGTAATCAATGGTATCACAAAATAACTGCCTTTATTTGTATTCAGAATGTTAAAAGATATCAACTGTCAAGAAAAATCCATCATAGGAGATGATATACATACTCTGGTACCAAGATATTTTAATCCCATTACAAAGAGTATGTGAGCAGCTTTATACAGTCAAATCAATGCAAGCATCTGTATACAAAACCTGAAACTGGTATTTCTATCACCAGGAGCACACAAAGTGATGAGTAAAAATTCATGTGAATTTCTAGTATACCAAATACTACAGGAGCTTCTCTTTCTCAATGAGTATTTTTCTTCTGTATAAAATTAACTTTTTGTGGGGGTGAGGGGTGTTAAGGAAACAAGGGTGCTCACTGTTTTAGGAAACCAAACTCTAAGATGGATAGAAAAATCATTTCTATACTAGGAATAATCCTAATTTTTCTAGAAAAATGAAAACCTGTTTTTAAACGTAGCTTTCCTACACTGGGCTTACAAATAGGGAACAGAGAAAGATACTTCTTATAATCAATTTTATTGCCCTATTATCTAGCCAAAGAATCACATTCTGCACAAATACATTTAAAGGCTTTTTTCTTAATGTTTAAAACAACGGTAAATGATCGAACTGTTTATGCTTCAACCACTCTTGCCTCTCCACCCATATTTAAAGGGCCAACCTGCCCATTACTAACCCTTTCCAGCCTCTTGTCTCAGGATGACATGACTACAGAACTAAGAAATGACTAAAAAAAAAATGCAACACAAATTCTTTAATAAAAGAAGTACAAATGACCCTGTGAAGAACCAAATGAGGCAAAGATCCTGAAAAAAAAGCAATGTAGGAATAAAACAAATACAAATTATGAACACAGGCAAGTCGGACACTTCAGAACTTGTCAGTGCTTGGGTCAAGTTCAAGCGAACAGAGGCGAGATAACCGTAGCTGAGGATCAGGGGACGGGAGGAGCAGGGGCTCTGGGGGTGCAGAGGGGGTGATCTATAGAGTGCACCAGAGCCCATAAGCAGCTGGCTGCAGAGAGCAAAGGCCACCATTCCTAACGGTGTCTGAGAGCTGACTTCACACCCTTAGAACGTGCAGCTAACACTGTTATTAAGATATAACGTACGGCTCCCAGATTTATGTAATAAAGCCACAGCCCAGCTACACAGAAGCAGAAGGGAGGCTTCACCGCACCCCACCCCGAGACGGCACTCTCCTTGCCTAACAAGCCACCGCCCACCGCTGTCTGTGAGCAGCCGGGGCGCCATCTTTCCCTTGTCTGTCTTACCCAGTCCAAGACTGAGATGTCTATTCCAGTATGCTTGGTATGTAACGCTGTCAATCACTCCTGCTGACGATACTTTTCCTTTTTTCCCATCCCCTTGTTTTAAGACCTAAGCTTGCTCCATCTCCTTTTACCCAAGGCCAACTTCTCAGCTCCTTCTTAGAAGCCTATGCTGTACTGATTCACCCAACAAACAACTTAATACCATAGCCTGAGCAAAGTCCAGGGAAGAGCCTGGGCCAAAAGCTAGAAGCAGGAAAGCGAAAGGGAAAGGCATAGAGAACGCTAAGATTCCAGGTCAATCTCTCCACAAACCTCACCGAGGGATGTGGCATGGTAAGACGGGCTCACACTGTTACGGCGGGCACCTTGAGGGCCTGGTGTTCTCATTCCTGCACTGCAGACACATGCTCAGGCTTCCAATGGCAAGTGGCTGCAGGTAACGGTTTTATGAAGTAATAAAGGTAGTTACTGATGGTTTCTTCATTTTACTTTGACCAAGACCGGAGAACAGGTATAACCCTCTGTTCTTCCACCCTCCCACCCTACTCCTTGGAATATGAGACAGTACCTGAGTGGTTCTGCAAGTGTGAACATTGGAGCAACAGGAACAACACTACCTGCAAACTCATCAGAAATTCAACTTTCTTGGGCCTTACCCTAAACCTATTGAATCAGAGCAGCTGAGAGTGCATCCAGAAGTATGTGTCTTAACAAGTCTTCTGGGGGATTCTGTTGCTCAAATTTGAGGACCACTGCTTTACTCCTTGCAGTGGGCACTGGAAAGAACTCCAGGAGAGCGGGGGCAGGGTAACACTGGCAAAGGCTCTGTTCATCAGCAACAGCCTGCTGTGGGTCTGCAACAGGAACATGTGCAACTGACGGTGCGACAAACAAGCCACCTTGTCTCACTGAACGCCCAGAGGAATGGCACAGAGGGAGACACACACAAAAGACACGGCTATGATGACAAAAAAGGCACAAAATAAAACCAGTCTGGTCCAAAAGGAGCCCTGGCAACCTGGGAAGGGTGAGACGACCCTGCACCACCCCGACGTCACGTTCCCAGAGCCAGCCAGGAACCACACAGCATGCATGAGAGCAAGTCTAAGTCACGGACTACAAAAGGAAAACTATTAAAAAAAACATTTTATTCAAACATTTTTTTAATCCGGAAGACAAGTCATTTTTATAGAATGACTTTTATAGCACCATTAACTCAGTTCTCACCTCATACAGACCATCCAGCTTCTGGACACCATGCATAACAGTCTATAAAGTCAACTGTTTTTTATCTACTTCATTAATCATAACAGCACTATAGAGGAAGTTGAAATGGGAATGAAGGAGGATGGGAGACAGGTAAAAAATGTTACCCAAAGTTTCTGGAATGTTCCTTCTCTCTCTAGTTACATCTGAGAGCCTAATAATTGTTCCTTCTTTCCTTTCAGTTTTGAAACGTAATCGTCCAGATTCTTCATCATCATCGTCTTCTTCATCTGACTCTTCTTTGATGTCCTTCTGCAGCTCCAAAGTCTCCATGCCTCCCTACATGGCAGACAGACAAAAGAGCACAGAGGGAAAGTGAGCTTATACTCTTCTGAATTAAATCCTGAACAACGGCTATGCATACACATATGTGCACACACACATAAAAGCTCTTATAATAAAGATGTAAAAATATAGCACAATGCCCCATTTATAAAGCCATGTGAAACATTAAACTGATCCCAGAAGACAAAACCTTTAATATTAAAAATTAACAATGTTAGAAAAAATTCAAATTTCTACTCCTAGTTAATATACCAAAGTCTTATACATTGTAACTACTTACACTTCTAAGAGAGAACAAACATGAATTCCAAACACCCCTGCAGGCCTAGACTCTAATTCAGGTCTAAACAAAGCTCAGTATGTTAATTAAACTAACCCTAGAGTCCCTGAGCCTGATTCCAGCATAGAACCCGCCTGTAGCTCCCGTTAAATGACAGCACATTCCTTCCCACCAAACAGGCGCCACGTTTCCTGGCACTCCTGACCCCGTCTACTCTGACTTTTGATGCAGCCAAGTGCTCCAAATCCACTGTTGGGTTGCTTGGCTTCTCTGGTTCTCTCAGCCTGTATAGTCGTTCCTGCATCATTTCTCACCCCTTTCTACTTCATCCCACTGACCAGGTTTGTGAGTTTCTACCTCTGGTTCAGACTATTAACCACAAAGCTATTATTTTTTCATTCGCTTCAGACTAAAGCCCATTTGGGGTTGTTTTTTCCATTCACTGATCTATGGCTGTGCTGGTCAGCACTGCCGCGCACAGGCCTCCCTCAGCTGTGGCGAGCAGGGCTCCTCTCCGTCCCGTTACGGAGCACGGGCTCCAGGGCACCGGGCTTCCGCAGCTGCAGCTCGCAGGTCCTACAGCACAGGCTCAGCAGTTGTGGTGCGTGGGCTTAACTGACCGGCAGCAGGTGGTTTCCAATTTGTGTGCCCTACACTGGCAGGCGGCTTCTTATCCACTGTGCCACCAGCCGAGTCCTTAAAACCAGTTTTTATCTTGTACTTCATTATAGCAGTATTCCTACAAAAATTCTGTTTAATCTAGTCCCAAACTACAGTAATTTCTTCATCAACAATGCTTACTGTATTAACTCATGTTCCTTCTGACACTAATCACTTTCATCTCATGTTAGATCTTAGTGACCTACTGTCAGGTAATAAGATAGGTACCTACCAACTGCTACATTCATTTATGCTTTTTGCAAACTTAAAAAAAAAAAAAAACTGCTCCTTTACTCTCATCACTCATAATTCTTACATGTACTTTACTCTCATCACTCATAATTCTTACATGTCCTTTACTCTTAATAGAAACAAAAATGAACCACTTCACTAGAAAATGTGCAAGAGAAAGAAAATGATACAATCATTTTGGACTCTTTCTCCAACATTTTCTGTGTAAAAAATGCACATTCGTTGCTATTAAAACCTATAGTAGAGAATCAATGCCTGAAAATAAAATACTGAATGTAAACTATAACTTTTAGCCTAATGATTGCAAAACCACCTTTCAGTATTCTGATACTCAGTATACTGTAGAACTTTAAAGCACCAGAATGCTGGCATTCTGTTGTTTTGCTGGTTTGACACCATTACTTCTGTCTGACTGAACATCTGAAACCACACAGGAATGACATGTGAGATGGGCCCAGCTATGTTCATCCTGCACTACGCTTAAACAGAGCAAAGAGTCAGCTCATTACAAAACATTCTTCTTCTCCACCTCTTAGTGCTCCAGAACAGTGCTTCTCAAACTGAAGGTTTATACTCATCGCTGGGAATCCTGCCAACATGCAGATTCTGATTCTGCAGGTGGGGGTCTAAAATTCTGCATTTCCAACAAGCTCCAGGTGAAGCCAACATGCAGGTCCACAGACCACACTATAAGCGGCAAGGCCAGCGAGGAGGAAAAGAAATCACTACCAACAAAGCAAAGATTTTATTACAGTAGTCATTTTTAATTCAATCATTAACAGTAGTTACAGTTCAAACACTTTACAAGCAAGTTTAATGTAAAACATGACAGTACTGAAACTAATATAGTTTATTCTACATACAATCTCCATCTAAGAAATCTAACAAAGACAAGCTGAAAACTGTTTCTCTGGAACAAACACTACAGGCTACCAGAAATAAATCAACGAACAATTCAAGTCTATGACCCAGCATTACCACTGCTAGATATTTACTCAGGAAAAATGAACATTTATGTTCATGTAAAAACCTGCAGGGAAAGTTTTACAGTTCTATTTTGGATGACCAAAAATAGAAACAACAGTGAATGGATACACAAACTGTTGTACATCCAAACTATGGAACGCTCTTTCAGCAATAAAAGAGGAAGGAACGATACAAACACTGGGATGAAATCACAAAGGCATCATGCCGTATGACAGAAGTCAAAAGGAACAATAAGTCACTCAAAAGGGGACACATGGCGACAATTCCACATATGACACTCTCCAAGAGACAAAGCTGCACTGGTTACCGAGGATTAGGAATGGAGGGAGGGCCTGACCACAAAAAGGATGGCACAAGGTCAACTTTTGGAGAGACGGAATATCCTGGGATGCAAACTTCTGGTTCACGCTCAGGGTCCAGGTCCATTTGAACTTCATCAAGGATTACACAAGCCCTGAGCTGAAACTGAAAAACTGCTGGCTTCGGCTGCCTCAGATATAGGTCACCTGGCAACACTGAGTGAGACTCACTCTTTCAGCCACTGGTCACTACCTCTTACTCTAAATACTAGTCTCAAAAAAAGGGCATCTTCTTTGACCGTGTACTTAGAATTAACTTACCTATCTGCCATAATGCTGACTTTCTCTGCAGAGAAATACTTATGAATGGAATATTCACAAATATTCACAATATTCCATTCACAAGTAAAATTCCACTGAAGGGCAGTGCTGGGTAACAATATAAAAATTAAGTTACCCTGATTCTGACTTCATTTATATAGACACTGCCAAAAATATTCAAAAGATTTGACTTTTAGCTATTTAATTATCTTAAAAACCTGAAAGATGTATTTGTAATACTTAATGCATATGAAAATCATCATGAAAGTTCTTTACAAAATAGACAAGCCCACCAAAGTCTGAACATACATACATAATTAGAAACTCTAAGAGGCAGCAAGACACCGACTTACATATTTAGTTACATTCTCTAGCTAACTCTGAAATGAACTTGTGATCTCAGTTTTGAAAGAAAATTCAAAATTCCATCCCAAATCTGAGGGGCGGGGACTGGGTAGTTCTCTGAAATAGAAAGCTATACAGAACACTGCTTCTAAAAACTTTCCAAAAGTTTTTAAAGCTTATAAAATATTTGATAGAGAATAATTCTATATCATAAATAAAAATCAATTCTAATTCCACCGAGAGTTAAAACTTACAAACTAAAAAGACTAGCAATTATTAATAAATTGTGCAAAAATTACAAGAGAAGAAAATTGCAGACCAATCTTGTTCATGAACACAGACACAAAATTGCTTAATAAAATAAAACTACATGTTGTTGGTCCATCGCTAAGTAGTGTCCGACTGTTTGGGACCCATGGACTCTAGCACCCCAGGCTTCTCTGTCCACATGGAATCCAACAAAACAGGAAAACATGTCATGACCAAGTGAAGGATTAGCCAGAAGCATAAGGTTGATTTAACATCCAAAAATCAGTCAATTTAACAAATCTCCCTTCAAGAAGAATTCTAAATATATGTACACACTCTCCTTCTCCAGAGGTGGCGCTTAAGTCCCTCTTGCTCACCTTGGGCGCTAAAGTAGAGTAAAGAAAGTGAAAGAACGTCAGGGAATTACCATCTTCACCTGGCCACCAAGGCTATCTCAGCACTTGACCAAGGCTCACACTGCCAGGGAGGTCCTGCACACAGCTAGCTGCAAAAAGGGTGAGGACACCTAACCTCCACGGCATTCTTTCCAAAAACTCCATCACCCCAGTCTCACCACGAGAAAAGCACCAGACAAGGCCAGTTAGAAGACATTCCAGGGGACACCTGGGCAGTACACTTCTTTAGACTGTTCAGGTTGTGGAACTCAAGGGAAGACCTACAAACCACCACAGACCAGAGGAGACAGGACAACAATGTGGTACCCTGGACTGGATCCCAGAATAGAAAGAGGACATTAATGGAAAAATCTGCAAAACAGAAATTAAGTCCAGAATATAGTTAATAGTTTTTAAAGTCAATTTAACGCACATTAAAAAAACAAGGGATGAAAGTCACAAGATTATCTCAATAGGAGCCGAAAAAGCACTGACAAAATTCAGCACTCATTTCTGATTAAAACAAAAACTCAGCAAACTAGACATAGAAAAGAATTTCTTCAATCTGACTGAAAAACCTCCAGGCAGCTTATATTACTTACTTGATGAAATACTAAGTATTTTACCCGTACCATGAAGAATGAACCAAAAACAAATGCCCTCAATGTTTCTATTCTACACAGTATTGGAGGTCAACAAAGCAAAAAGAATGAAATAAAAAGACAAGTGAGAACCATTAGACTGTGATTATTCACTTTCCTATTCTAGACCAGGAAAGACGAACTTAAGTAAACAGAACTAAGGACACTGCTCGCCCCTGAGAGGAGTCAGGACTGACCAAAGAAAACAGGCAGGAATCTTCGGGGATGATGAGGGTAACTTGGACGTGCGTACGTATGTATCAAATCACTGAACTGTACTGACTGGTTATAACTTTTCCAGAAAAGGAAACTAAGGCAAGGGAGTATTAAGTGACCTGCCCAATGCCAAACATCAGTTAAGTGACTGAAAGTGAAGGTCGCTCAGTCATGTCTCTCTGTGACCCCATGGCCTACACAGTCCATGGAATTCTCTAGGCCAGAATACTGAAGTGGGCAGCCTTTCCCCTCTCCAGAGGATCTTCCCAACTCACGCATGGAACCCACTGCAAGCAGACTCTTTACCAGCTGAGCCCCCAGGGAAGCCCGTGGTTAGTAACAGGCAATG